TATGACTCTCTCTCCTCTCCACCTGTAGCTGGTGTGTGGTGAGTTCACTGGCGCCGTTGTACTGGCTGCTGTCGCATTATCCAGGTGGATGATGCACACTGGTGGTGGCTGAGGAGAGATCCCCTCATATGATTGTAAAGTGCTTTGGGTGTACAGCAATGCACAATAAAGCGCTATATATCCCTCATTCATTCATTCATTCATTCATTTATTCAACACTCAGTCCTGCTGGAGGGGTCAGCATAATTGGGCAAGTCATGGTCCTGGGCATGGACCGTACGTAGGCAGATGTACATTTACTGCTTTGTATGCAACGACAAGTGTTTTAAACTTGATCCTGACAGTGCGAGGTAGACAGTGAAGGAAGCAGTAAGCAGTGTTATGCCAGATGAAACTGCAGATTTTTTATCAGTGCCTAAAGCGCCCTCTATTGGTGTTTGTTATAAATTACAGCTTGATTCTGCATACATTGTAATCTACAAAAATGGAGTCCCACATGTGATTTGCACCACTAGACCTGGGCTGAATAGAAAAAAATGCACTGAAATACAACTTGATTTTACTTGATATTTGATATTAACTCTATTAACTCTATCTTTCTTCGTTCCATCCGACCACTCATTTCATGAGTATTTCCTTAGCAATTATTGCCTCTTCCGTTTGCTGCTATCTGTTCGCCCTTAGAAAAGTCTGTTCACCTACTAGAAACCATCAAATCACTGAAATACATCAGACTATCCACCTTTTTCTCAAGTAAGAGCAGGAACTGACATTTTAAAATTGAATATAATGTAATGTTTAAGCATCTCTTCTTGTATAACAGACATTTCTTGGATGAAGGACCATCACCTTCAACTCAACCTTGCCAAGACAGAACTGCTTGTGGTTCCAGCAAACCCATCGTTTCATCACAATTTCACAATTCAGTTAGGCACATCGCCCATAACTCCCTTAAAAACAGAAACCTTGGAGTTATGATTGATGATCAGCTGACTTTCTCAGACCACATTGCTAAAACTGCCTGGTCCTGCAGATTTGCTTTATTCAACATCAAGAAGATCAGGCCCTTTCTTTCGGAACATGCTTCACAACTCCTTGTTCAAGCTCTTGTTCTGTCCAGTTTGGACTATTGCAATGTTCTCTTGGCAGGTCTTCCAGCCAGTTCTATCAAACCTCTACAATTAATCCAGAACGCGGCTGCAAGATTCATTTTTAATGAGCCAAAACTAATGCATGCCACACCTCTGTTCATCAATTTGCACTGGCTACCAATAGCTGCTCGCAACCACCTCTCTTCCATCTTTATTTGACCCTTTAACTCTAGCACTCTATAACTCTTCTATTCTTTAAAAAAAAAACTTGCTCCTTTTAGACTTAAGCACTCTATTCATTTATGCTTGTTTTCTTTAAAAACAGAAAACTAACACTACTGTAGCTTCTCTGTTCTTTTTGTATTCTATCTATTTGATTTATTTTTATTTATTATATTAAAAAAAGCAAAAAAAGGCCTCTAAACCTAGCTTGCTATATTCTTTTTCTATTCTGTTTGTTTTTTTATTATTATATAATAATAAAAAAAACTTTGCGTGTACTTGCGTGTCATTGCTCTTTTGTTGATTTTGATTGCTTCCATTGCCCTCATTTGTAAGTCGCTTTGGATAAAAGCGTCTGCCAAATGACTAAATGTAAACGTAATGTGAATGAATGTGCAAGACTTCCGGTGCACAAAAGCACTCTCATCCTGCTTGATGTTACAAATGCCTATTTGTTACAACAGACTATATGTATTTAAAAAATGTTACAATAATCTTTATCATCGTAATTAAAAATACACTGGCTTGTAGTGCAAATAGTTTTACTGTTTATGGCACTTTGTTATTCCTCACCTATACCGGCTAATGAATCAGAAGCTTCGCACAAAATAGCCTACTACCACGTTGAAAAGTAAGGTGGATAAAAATGTGTAGTGTCGTAAATAAGCCATTATTTTTTAGGCCTACCTGACACAAAATTTCTGTTGTCAAACAGCGATGTTTTGTAGCAAAAAAATAAAAATAAAAAATCTACAAAATTAATGTCATGCAGCCAAATGACAGCCTTATCATATTATCAAATATATAAAATTGATATATGACAGCACGGATACATCATCTACTTTCAAACAGGTGTGATTTTTGACCTTTCCAAGATGGCTTGTGAAAATCCCATAACTTGAGAAAAGTTAGATTGTATTTTATCTAAAACTGTAAATCCCAGTTCTGTTAACTACCCATTCAATTATATGTGGAACTGATTTGTTAGATTAAAAAATGCAATAATATTCATATCAGAACATTACTTTCTATTAGCAGTATTTCCAGAATAGGGCTGTGCCTTTACAGCTTGTTCCTCAGATACAAAAAAACATCTGTATGGTTTTGATTATCATGTCTGTCAGGCTGAAATCATGTGTTTTAAACTATATTAGTTTAAACTTCTGATATATGGTTTCCGAATCACGTGCACTGAAAGCAGCTGGCACACGGCAGGACTAAACTGAGTTCTCTTTCATGTCTTATTGCGCATAAACTGTCAAATACACACAAATTTATGTTAAAAACACACACGAGTTACAAAAGCAGTTGGTTATGTCTGTGAAGGTAAACAGCTGGGGAAAAAATTGTGTGTTTATACTAAATCTGTGTGGCAGCAGTGTAATATACAGTAAATAAATAAATAAATCCACTGATCTCTTGTCTCCTCTGAGGCTGGGACTCTAAATAATGTTCTGTACTCGTCTGTGCAGCCAAAGACAGAACAGTTAGCATGCTTTGCTCGAACTTTCGCTGTGGCGTGAACTGGTATACCATTGTCGCTTGCAAAAACACAATGGCAGCACGGTGGGTGGAAATGTGCAGATTAAGGGGCTGTAATACTTTCTACATCAAAGGGGGAGTGAAATCTGAACGGCTCTTTTTTTCTTTTACTGGATTGTTGTTCTTTTTCACATTTTATTGCACCTGGGACCTGAGCACTTAAACATTAATTACATTTTTTTTTATTTTTTTTTTAGATTTTCATGATATGTCACCCTTCAATTTTGATTTTTATATATTTTAATAACCTTATTGATATTACAGAAGACATACTCCTGGTTCTGCTCTTCTAGATAATGCTGTTCAAATCGTGTGCTTGCTTGGAAAAGGTCATATCCACAAGTCTAAAGTTACAACTGCTAATCCAAATTTTATTGTATTTTTCTCTGAATTAAAACGTGGCTTATTCCCTGTGTAAATAAAAAGATCATTGAGTCTTCTGTTAGAGATACAATTTGCCTATTAGGTGTGTTTTTTCCCTTGAGTCAAAACAAAAATAAAACATATATATATATTTTTTGTATAAGCCTACTTATGTTGACATGTTTTTGTTAATAATCTAAATCCCTCACAACAAATGAATTATTCTTACTCATTGTTAATTCCAATTGTCACTGTATTTTAACAATCTGTATTTCAATTTCAGATGTTACTTGCAAAATGTAAAAAAAAAAAAAGACCTTTCCAAGATGTTTCCAAGATGTTGCTGTTGACGTGCGTACCCAGGATGTCAAATATTTTTTATTTCTCTCTGATTTGATTTAATCTTCTTTGTTTAATGGCTGGTTACAAACTTAATTTGATTCCTAATTTTAAGTTAGTCATAATTATCTAAAACAAACTAAAATAAAAGAACTCTGGTTTGAATTATTTACACTTGTAGGAATTTTAGCATTATAATGTGGGACTAAATGGGCTCAACGCCGCTGGTGATCAGGTAGACTACATAAACACGCTGCTGACAATAAATATGGAGCTCACTGCGCCCTCTAGAGTAGACGACCGGTTAGACGACCGCTATTCGCCGCGGCGATCAAGCTGTGAATCTGCGGCTGCGGCTGGTGGTTGATGCGTCCACTGTAATCCTCAAATTATCTATTAATGTGTTATTGACAGTTTCCTTTCCATTCCAGTCCAGGCCTCACAGTAAACTGTTCCATCTCTATCAGTCTCTGTGTGTTTTTGCATTGACCGATTGAAGCATTGATATGGCCTTTTCTAATAGTACAGTTTAGCAACATGACCTGGGCCAGCTCATTCAGATAAAGCCCAGCAATGTTTCAGACCTGCTGTGTGATTCATGTATAATTCAGTTGTTTATTTCACTGAATTAGTGAGAATGGCCTGTAAAGGCTCTCTTGGCCTTCTCTTAACACACTGTCATCTGTCAAATTATCATCAAGGTTGCCTGCACCCTATTATTGTAAAATAGCAAGGCTGTTGTCAAGGTTTGGGATAGGAAATACTCACTCAATGTTTGGCACCTACTACCTGTCCTGTGAGACCTAGCCTCTGCGTTTTAAATGAATGAGATGGACCGATCGCCCACTGAGGCCTTACAAAAGCTGTCCTCGGGTAAGCTAGAACTATGCTTTTGAGCTCTCACTGGGTTGAGTGCAATTCTCTGAACTGTGGCATGGTCTATTGTGACATGGAGGGTGAATATAATTAGAATCCAACATTTATAGGACATTTGCAGCCAATCCAGTAACCCCCTAATATCATTTTTAATAATGAAAAAATAACCAAATGCAATATTATGTTATTTCTTTCAACTATAATTTAAAAAAAACTATAGAACAATTTTTATTTTATTTTATTTCCCAAGGCAATATATGGGACACTGGACCACAAAACCAGTCTTAAGTAGCATGGGTATATTTGTGGCAATAGGCAAAAAACATTGTATGGGTCAAAATGATCTTTTTTTTATGCCAAAAATCATTAGGATATTAAGTAAAGATCATGTTCCATGAATATATTTTGTACTTTTTGGACTTCATTTGGACAACTTTAAAGGTGATTTTCTCAATATTTAGATTTTCAAATAGTTGTATCTCAACTAAATATTGTCCTATTCTAACAAACCATACATCAATGGAAAACTTAATTATTCAGCTTTCAGCAAATCTCAATTTCACAAAATTGATCCTTATACATTGTATGGGTCAAAATGATCTTTTTTTTTTATGCCAAAAATCATTAGGATATTAAGTAAAGATCATGTTCCATGAATATATTTTGTACTTTTTGGACTTCATTTGGACAACTTTAAAGGTGATTTTCTCAATATTTAGATTTTCAAATAGTTGTATCTCAACTAAATATTGTCCTATTCTAACAAACCATACATCAATGGAAAACTTAATTATTCAGCTTTCAGCAAATCTCAATTTCACAAAATTGATCCTTATGACTGGTGTTGTGGTCCTGGTAGAGCTGTAGTCAAGTCCAGCTTTGTCGAGTCCAAGACAAGTCCAAGACCAGGACTAGTCGAGACCGAGTCAAGACAAGTCAAGTCCAAGTCCAAAAGTTTCGAGTCCAAGTGAGAGAAAAAAAAGGATCCTCTTCAAGACCACATACTTAACTATTGATAATGTATGTGATGCGAGAGACAGCATATCTCCTATTCTAAGAAAATCATTTTACATTATTATTAGTAATGATCAAAAAGCATGTGCAAAGTAACAACTCTGTAGGACAGGGGTCTCCAAACTAGATCCTGGAGGGCCAATGCCCTGCAGAGTTTAGCTCCAATTGGCCTTAACACACCTATCCTATTATAGCAGACATATCCACTGATTTGCATTGATTTTGCCTTTCTAATAGTCCTGCATGATATGAGGAAATTCTGCTAAGTGTGATAACAGTGGAGTTTTTTTATTTAAAATGTTTTTTAGCAATGATGATTACTTATGATAAATAAATGAATAATTAACTGTGCATATTAGGGCCAACAAATAAAACGAAATATTTTTTGTTTGTTTTTTTGTTTTTACAGCGGTGAGCATTACAACCAATAACATACGAATCCATTGAGTTTATTAATGCAATGGCCAATCAAAGGCGTTCAGATAAGTCATCGCTGAAACACCAGAGTTTTGTTGAGTGCTGAATTCTGCACTCTGGCATTTCATAGCACGTTTCGGTGCCCATTGCTAAATAACATGTTCATACTGCAATGACAATGAAAATAC